CACAGCAACCTCAAACTCTTGGGCTTAATTGATTCTCTTGCCTCAGCCTACCAAGTAGCTGGAACTACAGGTGCCCACCACAACACCTGGCTATTTTTAGAGATTAGGTCTTGCTCTGGCTCAGGCTGGTCTTGAACCTGTGAGCTTAGGCAATCAATCTACCCGTATTGGCCTCCCAGAGTGGTAGGATTATAGGAGTGAACCACTGCACCTGGGCAATTTTGGAACTCTTTTTCTGGAATGGTGGCCATCAGAGCTGTTGTTGTATTATGGTTAGTGTTCTGAATGTCATCAAAATGTCTTCTTTTCAACATTTTCTTTATCATCAGGTAAAGAAAAAAGTCATTGGGGGCCAGATCAGGTGAGTAGGGAGGGTGTTCCAACCTAGTTATTTACTGGCTAAAAATTCCCTAACAGACATTGCTGCGAGAGCTGGTGCACTATCATGATGTAAGAGCCATGAGTTGTGGGCTAAGATTTTCAGTTAACATTTTCCTAACTGTTTCTCTATTGATATTTACTCGGTCTGCTATGCTTCTCACAGTCAGCTGGTGATTTTGATGCACAATGCAATGAATTTTTGCAATGTTTTTGTCAGTCCAGCTTGTTACTGGATGCTCTTCAGTAACCTCAGCTGCTTTCCCTCCCCTCAGAAAAATGTTTAATCCATTTGTACACTGATGTTTTCTTCATGGCATTATCCCTATAAACTTGGACTATGATTTCACTTCCCCTCTTGCCAAGTTTAACAAGAAATTTAATGATTGTTCATTGCTCTAATTCAAGCTCTGATGTTCTCATGATGGCACACAAAACCACACAGCAACAATATAAATGCCACTCAGCAAGATGCTGCCACATGTCAACATGAACATAGCTGTGAGACACTGAGAGACCAAAGTTATGAAACGTTACCAAGCTGTCTGTACAGCGCGGTCAGTGTAAGCACATAGTGGGAAGTTTGTGAACTTAATTGTCAGACCTCATGTGTATGTGTGTGTGCATATGTATTTTTTTTCCTTTGGCCACCTCATGTGAATTTACAATTATTTGAAAATTAAAAGTTCAGGCCAGGCACGGTGGCTCATGCCTGTAATCCCAGCACTTGGGAGGCTGAGGTGGGTGGATTGCCCTGAGCTCATGGGTTTGAGACCAGCTTGAGCAAGAGTGAGAACCCCGTCTCAAAAAAGTTGCCGGGGGTGGCGCCTGTGGCTCAAAGGAGTAGGGCACCCACCCCATATGCTGGAGGTGGCAGGTTCAAACCCAGCCCTGGCCAAAAACTGAAAAAATAAAATAAAATAAACCCACAAGGCATTTATTTTTATTTTTATTTTTATTTTTTTGAGACAGAGCCTCAAGCTGTCCCCCTGGGTAGAGTGCCATGGCATTACAATTCACAGCAACCTCCAACTCCTGGGCTCAAGCGAGTCTCTTGCCTCCGCCTCCCAAGTAGCTGGGACCACAGGCGCCCACCACAATGCCCGGCTATTTTTTGGTTGCAGCCATCATTGTTGTTTCGCTGGTCCGGGCTGGGGATTCGAACCCGCCACCTTAGGTGTACGTGGCTGGCACCTTAGCTGGTTGAGCTATAGGCGCCAAGCCCAAGGCATTTATTTAAAAAATAAAAAATAGTCACCAGGCATTTGGCAGGCCCCTATAGTTCCAGCAACTTGGGAGGCTGAGGCAAGAGGATTGCTTAAGCCCAAAAGTTTGAGGTTGGTTGCTGTGAGCTATGACACCACAGCACTCTACTGAGGGTGACAAAGTGAGACTCTCTCAATAAATAAATAAAATAAAATAAGTTTTAAAATGCCTTAATTTTTAAAGATTTAGGGATTTAAAGTTATTTTCAGGAGAGAGTTGGTGTCCCTACTGCCAGAAACATGTGCTCCTGTTCTTTTTGTCTTTGGGAACTTATAATTTATTTTCAATTTTTCCAAATTGTCATTTTGATGTGGTTGCAGGAGGTGGATAGGATAAACATATGAACAATGCATTGTGGTCTACAAGCAAGTGTTTAAGGGTTTTGAGAAGGGTTGGGATATTTGGATAGATCACTCCGGTGGTTTCTCAGAGGATGGATATAAGGGAGACAAGACTGGAAACAGAATGATACATTTGATTCTATGAGGCACATTTTTTTTTTTTTTGGCATTTCACCTAAATTGGGCTGTTTCACTATAGTTATTAGTCAGACAGCAGTCATACTGTATCTGTCATACCTGCCAGTGATTGTGGAAATTTGCAAAATGAGTGGCTGAGGCTTGGAAGAAAACTCCAAAGACAGAAAGAGGAACACTTAGGAAATGCTGAATCACCAAAGCCCTTGATGGCAGGCACAGAGGACTACATTGTGTGGAAATTCATGGACATGTAACACTGAATCAATTAACATGAATTATTAAGAACCAGCCTCTGAGGCTCAGCGCCTGAAGCACAGTGGTTATGGTGCCAGCCACGTGCACCAAGGCTTGCGGGTTTGAGCTGGCAAGGCCAGCCAAACAACAAAGACAACAGCAATAAGAAAATAGCTGGGCGTTGTGGCGGACACCTGTAGTCCCAGCTACTTGGGAGGCTGAGGCAAGAGAATCGCTTGAGCCCAGGAGTTTGAGGTTGCCGCGAGCTGTGATGCCACAGTATTCTACTGAGGGCAACATAATGAAACTCTATCTCAAAAAAAAAAAAAAAATCAGTCCCTGAGTGTGAAGTTTTAGGGATACCGTTACCATATTATTCTTTTCTTTTTTTTATTATTTAGTTTTTATTTCATAATCATAAACTTAACGCTGCAATCCAGCTAGACCTGGAGGGGAATAAGGAAAATATGCAACCCAAAGAACTGCAGTGAGAGCACAGAGATTACAGGATATTGCAAGCAAATGGGGTAGCGGGGGCTCTCCTGAGCTACAGAAGGAATGGTTTGGTGGTTGAAACATTAAGTCAAATTTATTACAGTTGTCCACAGTCAGTAATGGGGATCTTCTTACTGGTCTTGCCATTCCTGGACCCAAAGCGCTCCATGGCTTCCACAACAGTCAAGCCTTCTTTCACCTTGCCAAAAACCACATGCTGGCCATCCAACCTCTCAGTCTTGGTAGTACAGATGAAAAACTGGGAATCGTTCATGTTGGGTCCAGCATTTGCCATGGACAAGATGGCCAGGACCTGTATGCTTCAGGACAAAGTTTTCATCTTCAAATTTCTCCCTGTAGATAGACTTGCCACCAGTGCCATTATGGCGTGTGAAGTCACCACCCTGGCACATAAACCCTGGAATAATTCTGTGAAAGCAGGAACCCTTATAACCAAATCCTTTTTCTCCAGTGCTCAGAGCATGAAAGTTTTCTGCTGTCTTTGGAACTTGGTCTGCAAACAGCTCGAAGGAGACGCAGCCCAAAGGCTCGCGTTTGGCGGCAATATCGAAGAACACACTGGGGTTGACCATGGCTGATACAAGATGATTATAAGAAGCGACAGCGTCTGCAAAGCCCATATTATTCTTTTCTATTTCCCCTTTTATGTATGAAGAACAGTGAAATTTGATAAAAATCTATATGTAGATAAACCTACACTTTCAATACACTTGATCTTAGCCAAAAGGCTGAGAAATGATTACACTTTCAATAAGCAAAAGCGATTTTTTTTTTTGAGACAAGAGTCTAACTCTGTGCCATGGGTAGACTGCTATGGCATCCTAGTTCACAGCAACCCCAAACTCCTGGGCTCAAGAGCACCCTTGCCCCAGCCTCCTGAGTAGCTAGCTGGGACTACAGGCGCCCACCACAACGTCTGGCTAGCCATTACACTCCCAATAAGTGTAAAATAAAAATTCTCAGGGGATAAGAAAGAATTATCACAGTTTATTTGCACCTTTAGGGGAACATAAAATAATGGTGAGTTTTACAACTGATGGCGTTAAAGAAAGGGATAAAAGAGAGAAGAGGGGAGAGAATTCTTGAAATATTAAGAAAGAAGGCTCGGCGCCTGTGGCTCAAGCGGCTGAGGCGCCAGCCACATATACCTAAGGTGGCGGGTTCGAATCCCCAGCCCGGGCCCGCCAAACAACAATGATGGCTGCAACCAAAAAATGGCC